TAATTCAATCTCAAAGTTCCAATATCATAACCTCAATCAAAATTGATATGAAATCCGAATCCCACCAAATTATTCATAATGAAATTATTAACTCCAACTCATCATACTCAAATACACCATCAATAGTCCAAAATATAGGATACTTCATAAATAACTCAAATCTCAAATCTCAATCAAATAACAATTCATATGTAAATTCAAATGCTCAAAATATCACCCAATATAAAATACTCAAATCTCAAATATATATAATTCACAATCACAATTGATACGTAAAATCGCATTAACTATCATATACTCAAATGATCTCAAATAACTAGTCACAAATATAGTTATATGGGAAAAGCATGAAATTTGGTTGACATAGTACTTACCTCGAATCGTGATATTCATAAACGGGCTTCTACTTTGATCTTCTCCAAGTTACCTTCTAGAATATTAAAATTCTAGAATTAATAGCTATATTAATCCTTTGCTAACTATTATCGAGTTTAAAATTGAACTCTCTCACGATTACTCACTTGTATTCACCCAACTCAATTAGTTCATCCATAAACATCGATTTTACATCATTTAATCTATTTTATAAATTATGTCTATTTCTATTAGCCAATCCGTTTATGTAAACAAGTCCATTTTATAATTTATAGCTTGTCCACTTATAACCATTTATATAAATTTATGCATAGTCAATCTATTTTATCTGCTTATTTTATTTTAAGCCCACTTAAATCATTTTCTCCTACTAATGTAATTCTTTCCGTTCTATTAGCCGGTCCAACTTAATAATAGTAGGGGTATTACGTAATACGGAAAGACAACAGAGAAGACTCACTCGTCTTCTTCGGCGAATCGGCTCCCAGCTGCCAGCGAACGCAGCAATCGCGGCGAAACAGCAGGGAATGTACGGTGCTTGCTGCAACCTCGTTTACTCTGGAAGCTCTGCTCTCGACGTCAACTGCAAGTTAGGCCGGCGAAGATGACCCGGTGGTGATTCCTCTTTCCTTGGACTTCCCAGCTTAGCGTCAGTCTCGGTGGGGATTCTGGCATGAAACACGGAAACCAGTCCGGTATGGAACGCTAAAACCAGTCCGGCGTGGAACACCGAAACTTGGTCGGCAGCGACTCCGGCGACTTCGTATTCTCTCCTCCGATGATATGTGGTGCTAGACACGGCCGACTTTTCTCTGGCGAACTCCTCTAGGCGTAGATAGCAGGTCGCAGAGTATAGTGCAGGTGGTGTGTGAAGTTATTCTGTGGTTATGATTTTGCAGGAGCAGTACGTACGTATATAAATATATCTTTGTATATACGTAGTTATTAATACGCAGGTATCGCTGGTTTTTGGTGCAGAAAGAAACACGTAGCTCGTTTGCTTCATCTTGTACATATCTTTGGCCCTATTAGATTGATTCAGACCGGTACATGTGCGGTGCAATGAACACCCTTCGTTTCTTATAGTAGGTTATGGCCGCATGGGTCATTCTTATCGAAATATCGGATCTACCGGCAGTTTCCTTGTTAGTCCGTAGGGTTAATACGCATTACACTAGGTGCATGTATCGTATATTATCATTAGAATTGCATTCTTGTTTGCTACATAACATATGCATGTGGTGGCCTAATCCTTTAGCCGTAGTATGCATGTACGTTTTTATTTCCATGTTGTAAATATATGTCTTTAGCTATTATTGTTATTATTTTAATTTTATTTGTGTGAGTGGAATACGTATACATATTTGTCAAAATGTAACTTTTATTATTCATGTCATATGTATAATTATCATTTGTTACAACGGTGTCACTTTTGTTATTTAGGTCAAAGTTTAATCAATCTAATAAATATTAAAATTGCCATTTCTATTATTGAAACATTTTTATCCGATTCACTTAATTATTAAAATGTGACTTTCATAACACTTTATCTGACTAATAAAAATTATTTATTTTATTTAAATTTTTTCGGGGTGTCACAACTGCAGACAAAATTAGCGATTGTAATACAGACAATTACTTTGAACTCCATACTCAATTAAATACCGCAGACAAAAAACGGCATAATACAGACATTAAGTTTTTACTCCATAGCAAATTATATATCGCAGACAAAATGCAGAATAATACAGACATTTACTTCATAATGCATACTCAATGAATTAATTATATACCGCAAACAATATAACCTGCTACAGACAGTTCGTTTGTGATCCATAGTCTGTCACTCAATTATATACCGCAAAAAATATCCAGATACATAATATACACATTTACTTCATACTCCATACTTAATGAATGAATTATATACCGCAGACAATATGAACTACTACAGACAGTTCGTTTTTGATCCATAGTCTGTGACTCAATTATATACCACAAAAAATATCCAGATACATAAATATATTCCAAACAGTTTGGAATATTAAACCTGTTCCAGATACATGTTCCATATGAAAGGATACTCCTCGAGCTAGACAGACAATACAAAAATATTACAGACAGTTCTATAGCTTTGCCACAGACCCAAAAAAATTGGAAGCACATTGTAGCAATATTGTACAACATGGCATGACACATTGTTGTACAAAACACTACATCTAAGCACCAGTGTATGTGAAAAAGTTAGGTAAGCACCAATGTATGTTGGCCAAAAAATATAAATTTACAAAAAATATACATCATTGCACATATTCTTTCTTCATCTCTTCTTCATCAAATTTTCATCAATCTTTCATCTTCCAAAGACGTATGGCAAAGTCACACCTCTTAGTAACGTCTGTATACAGACAATTAGTACATCAAGACGTCTGTAATACATGACGACGTCTGTAAGCATACACATACCGTATCCAATGAACTCCAATTGGTTTTTACAAGATGCCTATCTCCCCCCCACTGTGCCTCATTGTGAATGTTTTTATTCAACAGTTGTTGCTAAATAAAATGGGTAAGTAATAAACAATTAATGTGAAAAATATTAACGTATGCATAAAATGAACTTCATATACCATAAAATATGGACCGAGTAATAAACATTTCGTCTGTGTGCTGATCTTGTTCAACAAGTATATGATAGGATCAACATGCTAGAACAAGAGAATATTCCACAATCAACAAATGACACATAATGTTAGTAAGAATTATATGGATGAAAAGGTCATAGGTATGCACTTACATAACTCGCCAACCATGTATCCGGCATAAGGAGGTCGCGAAAATACCGCCTATCCACATCTTGTAAACCGGGAATATTAAGCTTTACGTGGGTAGGGGCAATTTGATCCGGTTGATCAATCCAACACCTCAAACTTATCAACTCATCGTCATGTATATCCAATGGAGCATGGATGTCGAAGTGTATATGTTTCGGACGCTTTTTCGTTGGGTCGGTGAATTGGCTACACTGATATTTTGACGGGAATTTTGGACTTTTTGTGATTTCAAGCCGGGTTAAGTCCTCATTAATGGTATCAATCCGAGGTGCCGGATCGTCAATTATAACGTCCTCCCAATCAAGATTCAAATATGGTAGTTCACTGAAGGTATCACCGGGTAACTACACACGCACACAAGCATTAAGATATAACACAAGTGACATGACGCGTTGTCTGCGCACAGACATAATGCGGAATACCGAACATGTGTGCACGCAGACATTATTACGTCCATACCGACGTTACCAAACTACTCACGCAGACATTAATACTGATTCATAGTAAAAAAAAATTGAAGTATGTGCACCTCTTTTGGGAACAACAACAATTCTCGGGTGGTTTGACATTCTTCAAATAAACCAACTTCCTCGTTCATCAACATCAACTTAAAAATTGAAATAGACATTGTAAAGTAAATCACAATAAAGTGTGATTAGAAACACAATACCACATACAATAGTATTTAATAAGTCATCAACACTTACATCATTCATCACATTTGTGATGACAATGTCTGGACTTTGACATATCTGTTCGAACATCGTTGAACATAAATAACATATGCAAGCCGTAATAAAAATTGGTGTTTTTAAATTTTGTTTAAAAAGTCTTAGAAACGTTGTCCCAACCCACTCATCCTCTACATCCGAAAAACATCATTAGATATGTTAGAATTGTACATCGTTAAAAAGACCGCCATGACCAACATCCGCTCGCTCTTTGTCGGCGTCCTCCGCATTTTGCAAAAGGTTAAAAAAACACAGACGATTTCAATACAGACAACCTCACCATAATAATACAGACAATAGAAGAAAGCTGCAGACATTTACCATTTGGGGTCCAAACAACCTCAATAACAAATAAATACATACATTACAGACACATTTACCTCTTCAACCACTAAGGTATTCACCTCCTCTTTATGATGTACCTCTTCACATTCTGCTTCATTGGGGCCAAGTCTTGCATGCTTTTCTTCTGCAACCTCCACACCCTACAAAATATGTGAGCATTTACGTACGATCCTAAAGACAATATATGCACTACGAGTTACCTCCATATGTTACAAATTTCTTACAGACAACCATTTTTACATGTACAGACATTTACGTACAGTGGACCTCTATAAGAAATACAGACATACATTAAAAATAAAAACATTTACCTCTTCACATGATTTTTCTCCATCACCTATTCCCCCGTCATTGACATACAATTGAGCAGTGGGCATATTCCCTGTGAGATCCACCGCATCCTAGAAAGAGTTTAACAGTAGATACGTTATAATTACAGACAACATATATTTCTGTATACAGACATCCTGACCAACAAATACAGACACTATGGAAGGCCTTAATCTAATTTTCTTACCATGACGGGTTCCACAATTGCAAGTTGGGAAGCTCCATTGTTGGCATTGACCTCCTCAAATATTGTTACCATGTCGGATTCAACAGACTACATTATATGTCAAACCATCTTAAAAATGTCTAACAATATATGTTCAAGTACTTAGGTAATAACTTATACAGACATCCTCACCAACATATACAAACAATTACCTTGTCGGGTTCCACACTAAAAACTTCGGAAGCTCCAATGTTGGCATTGACCTCTTCAACAGCCTAAAATATATGTTAAACAGTCTTTGAAATGTATAACAATACAGACAACAATATATGTTCAACTACTTCTGTAATAATAAGTACAGACATCTATAAAAATTATCTGTAATATTTCAACCATATACAGAAATATGGTTGGGCTTAAACATATGTATTAAGAGAACCGACATTTACCTCTTGGTTCGGTTCAACAATTTTGTGATGAACATCCAATTCCATGTCTTCATCACTGCTAACCGCTTCGACATTCACAACCTCCTCCTCAGCTGCATCAGTTTCGTCAGCCTCATAAGTTTGCTCAGCCTCTTCAGTTTCCTCAGCCTCATCACTTTCATCGGCCGCATCAGATTCCTCAACCTCATCTGTATTCTCACTAACCTATAATATGATTGAAAATACCACATTAAAACCTAATGCCATACACAAAAGATCCATACAGACAACCCATACAAGAATTGCAGACACTAAATTTTATGTACACACATGTTCCTCTTCGGTTTCAAAACTGGTTTCATCTTCTCCTTCTCCATCTTCACTGTCAGCCAACACCTTCTTTTTAGCAAGCTGCTCTTCAGTGGCTTTCAGCCTCTTTTCAAGATCCGCAAGACGTGCACGCAATAAACTCAATTCATTATTTGGAACATCTTCACCTGTGCTTTCCTGATCGTCGTTCTCCGCTGCCTGCGACATAAAGAATGCCATGAATACTCAAGTTTCCATAGCCAAGTAAAAACAACACATTAAAACTTTTAATTACCTCCACAATATCTTTGAACACAATCTTTTGAAGCCTGTGTGCATGGAAAAACCCTTATGCAGTCCACTTCAAAATGGGAACATCTCTGGTAGTCGAGACACGTTTGGCAAATTTCTGAGCAAGCACAGGAAGCTCCTCATATGCCCAAACCTACACACGGTGTCATACAGACAATGTATTAATGTATACAGACAGTGTATATAATTACAGACAGTGTATACAGACAATTCCATTTGTAAGTAAGCAGGTTTACAGACAAATTAATCAATACCTGTAAAGCAAAGGGGAAGCCATACAAACTGAACTTGGCGTTGCGATACTTAGGTTTTTTCTTCTTTTTGGCCTGAAACTTCTCCGGCTGTCCTTTCATTGTCTTCTTCAGACTCTTCACCGTGACGTTGTAAGACTCTAGGGACCAGGGGCATGATTTAAAGACTTCAAATTCATCCACTAAACACAAGTGAGCAGGGCGTATCCTAGTTGGCGGATCTCGAGCTAGGAGGCAGGAATGGACAAAAAACAGAGAAGCCAACTTCACTCGATCCATCACATCTTCGTTAGGTTCCATCAGAGTATTTCTAATTTCTTCAACTTTTGCCTTCAACTTGCCGTATGTAACATCAACGCACCCCCCAAAATATTTATCGACCACACCCAACCGTGATTTATCAAAATCATATGTCGCACACTCGACCTGATCTTTGATTCCAGTAACCCTCTTGAAGTCGTTGTAAGTGAACTTCAGCAACTTCCCATCCACCGCAAACCATAACTCATCAGCAGGCTGGTGACGCACTTGATGCAACAACAACAAATGTATCAGCTGCCCAGAGAATTGCATTGCTGGAGCATCAAGCAAATGGCCCCAAGGCGTTTTCACTAGCAATGTCATCTGCTGCAATGTCAAGCAATCACTCAAAACGTCCAATGCATACTCGAATGCAGACCTTACTGAGATTTGCGCTGGAAAGAAATCTTTAACAGGAATTTGCAATTCCAATCTGAAAAAATGTACACAGACATTTATCACAATTACAGACATAACATTGACACACATGCATTGAAATTGCACAATAACAAACGCCATAAAATGCATGCAGACAACGAGACAATGCCACACAACAGACAAGTGAACAATTCTACACAGACAATGTACGAAGTCTTAGACATCTCAAAGCACACAGACAATTGAACTTCGGCATACAGACAGCTCTTAAATTGCACAATAACAAACAAAATAATATGCATGCAGAGAAGTACATAGTGCACATAGACATTTATCTCAATTACAGACATATCATTGACACACAGAAATTGAAATTGCACAATAACAAACGCCATAAAATGCATGCAGACAATGAGACAATGCCACACAGACAACTGAACAATTCTACACAGACAATGGAAAATACTTGGCAATATATACATTTAACAAATGGTATACAGACATGTACGAAGTCTTAGACATCTCAACGCACACAGACAATTGAACTTCGGCATACAGACAACTCTTAAATTGCACAATAACAAACAAAATAATATGCATGCAGAGAAGTACATAGTGCACACAGACATTTATTACAATTACAGACATATCATTGACACACAGACATTGCAATTGCACAATAACAAACGCCATAAAATGCATGCAGACAATGAGACAATGCCACACAGACAACTGAACAATTCTACACAGAAAATGGAAAATCCTTGGCAATATATACATTTAACACACACACAGACAGTTGAACAATGCTAAACAGGCAACTCTAAGTTCTGTACAGACAAGTACAACCGGTTACACAATGCATAATCCTTGGCTATAGAGACATGTTACCATGCTATACAGACATGTCTGAAGTGTACAATAACAAAAAAAAAAATTGCATGCAAAGATTTGTTCAACATAAGAACATAGTTCACAGACATCTCAAAAATCACAAACAGATCAGAACACACTACACAGACATCCTAAAAAGCCCCAAACATTTAACATCACACATAAGGTTACATCTAAACAAACATATAACAGACAACATCTAAACACAAGGTTGAAATATACTTCAAAGAGTATATGCATGTCAACAAACCTCACTCAAAAACGAGAATGAACACATAAAAACTTAGAAATGCATTTTTGGCAAAATCAGGCTAATAGAAAATTACCTTTGTGCCATTTCAGTTAATGAAGTGCGAACCATTTCAGCTTTGGGAGTGTGCCGGTGGTCAGTTGACGGTGGGAGGTTCTCGTCACGGCGAACGGGAGGCTGCTGGCCGGACTTCTCATGCCGGCGGACTGAACTTCAGCAAAGTGGGGAACGGACCGACGAACTTCACCAACTACAGGGAGGGAAGGAGATAGCCGTTCGAGGGGAAGAATGGAGGGGAAGGACGAGATATGGGGAACCGAAGGGGAGGGAAGCGATTTTTGTTGTGGGATGCGAGAAAGAAAGGGGGTGCATGGGGAAGTGGGAGGGGAAAGAGGAAGAGTGGGCGGCGGTTTTTTTTTTGGGATGCACGTGGGGTTAATTCAAAATAGGAGGGGGGGGGGGGGGGTTATACGGTTAGAAAGTGGGGGGGTGGGTTTTTTGTGCTGTGTACACCGGTGTGTAACCCGGAGTGTACACAGCGAATTCTTCGTTTTGTAAAGTATATTGAATTACTATTATGCTTGGTTAGAAATCCCAAATAAACTTATCAACCATGCTTGTTGTACCCACCACTTTGTACCCACCTTATACCCACCTCTGTGAAGGCTATTTTTTTGTCTGTGAAGCCAGTTCACAGACAAAATATGTCTTTGAATTCCTTCACAGACATATTTTGTCTATGAAAGAATTCACAGACAAAAAAAAATAACTTCACAAACATGAGTAGGTACAAAAGTGGGTATAAAAGTGGGTACAAACATCATTTTCCTAAACTTATTGGGTGACAAATCATTTGGGAAAAACGGACGGGTAGGTCAAAGTGTCTAGGTTTTCGGGCGGCGAAAATTCATTCGTCCGCAAGGCTTGGTCGATAGTTGTGACGACATCCAACAGCAACGAAGCACGACAAAGTCCGGCGCTAACAGATTTCTTGGATGACAGATTGGAGCCCAACAACAGCACCAATCAGCAGAGGAGTCTATCATTGGTTCATAAGCAATATACTCCAAATCTCAACGAACCAGGACGGCAGGACGTAAGGAGGTGTCAATGGCTTTCAGTGGTTTCGAAGGCGACTGTGGATCTGAGACAACTAGGGTTGTGAGACTCGAATTTTTGACGCTTGGTTTGGCTATTTTGGCTTTGATGGTGACTGAGTTGGGAGCTGCAGCAGCTGTGTTTGATCCGGGTGGAAAGCTGATGGTATGGGTCCCGGTTAAAGGGGGCGAATTTGGGCTCCAATCGGCTGTTGGGGGGTCAACGCAATTGTTTTGACCGTCTCAGGTGATGGAAGAAGAAGATGGTATGTGGATGATTTGTCCCCCTTATGAACCGCCACCACAGAAGAATTTGTTAGGAATTAATTTACGCAACACGAAAAACAATTAAAGAACACACGAAATTTGGTAACCCAGTTCGCCACGAATGACTGCGTCTGGGGGCGGTACTAAGCAAGGAATATTATTGCTATTTTCGGATCCAAGGGATTACAAAGGGAGAGAGCTTGTATTATAGAGAGTAAAACCTACCCCTAAGCCAACTAGGAGTCTCAGTCAAAAATAAAGGGAAAAATAATTCGTACGGCCCAACTGTACGGAATCCGTACGGCCCATCTGTACGGAATTGTACGGAAAACTTGTTCGTTAAAAACGGACCAAATATTTCGGCGGAGTTGGATCGACGAATAGAGCTTGGTTATACAGTCTCTAACACCTTACAGAATTGTGTGACTAGGGTTTGGAAGACAACGCTTGAAGAATGGGTTCCGTGGTTCCACCAGCTGAAGTTTATTAATTTTTGCTGTGTTCTGTTTGCTAATCTTTATTTTGTTTTTATTAGGTCAAATAATAAGGTTGGTAGGTTCTTAGATTGGTTTACCTTAATTGCTAGATTTCTTTTGAGAGGGAATTAGGCTGACTCAGCCACTAATAGCCCCAAAGCTCTCACATATTCAACGATTATTCTTGCTCTTTTTGGGGTGGACTACTCTATGTCTGATAAAGAAGTGAGGGGGCGGTGGGCTTATGGTTATGTTTGTCTAGATGGAGGTTAGTGCCAGATGGTTACTTTATTGTTTGCAATTCTCCTGATTGTAGTGCGAGTTTTGATTTAATATAATATGTCAATTTCCAGTATAAAAAAAAGTCGTTTGGAAAATGACTTGTCACCAATTTTGACTTTGTGAAAAATAAAATTAACGAATTGATCAATTGAAATTTAAATTTCTAAAATTATTGTTTGGTAAATTGTTGGTTTGCATAGTTTATTGAATTCAAGCGGCTAAAAGTTAAAAAGTCAGTGCAGCGTTTTTTTTTAGTTTTTTAATTTCTTCTTTTGTACTATGTATATTTGTGCTTTGTGTCAATTTTCTCCACTAGCAATGTCCATGTTGCCTTCTCCGCCACCTAGTGACTTGTGTATCCATTTTCTATCATTTTCTAGAGTTTTTATGAAAAATTACCACTTATTCCCTCCGTCCCGTTGGACTTTGCCAAATGCAAACTAGGTGAGATATAAGAATAGTAAAAAATGTGTGGTTGAAATTTGTGCAGAGGAGAGAGAAATGTGCAGAACCACAAATTAGTTGCTTTAATAAGAAAGTGACAAAGTTTTTTGGAACAATAAAAAAGGGAAAGCTGGCAAAGTCTAATGGGACGGAGGGAGTATATTAAATTACATAATCACTAATCATCTCGCTCGTAATACAATCTAGTGGTTCTGCATAACTAATTGACCATATTACCCGGTCACATTTACTTTAGCAAGAATGTGAGCAACGTGATTTAACGCCCGCTTACAATGATTAAAAATAAAACTTGAACTAGAGCCCAACAAATGATGAATATCATCTAAGTTAAAGTCAAAATATGACAACTCTTTTCCCCGTCCAATCCTGAGACCACCAATGAAGCATTGGCCTCTATAATCACTCGTGCCCAGCCACTTTCAAGTGCTTCGACCATTGCCTCTTAAACCCCCACAACCTCTGTCTCCTTAGCTAACTATTCCGCTCGCACCTCTGCACTTCGGGCTCATAAAAAGGACCCCTCCTCATTTCTAAAATCCTAGCAACCCACCTTCACGTGTTAATCCCCCATCCTGGTTCACCGCAGCATCCACATTTATTTTAACTCACTCCCCTCCGGTCTGATCCACTTAATCCTACCACCTCTGGACCCATTTATTGTTCTCCCTACCCACTGTTGTGCCTCACGCCAAGCTTTCAACATTCCAGCTCCTCTTGCAATAATGCCTCTACTGGAGCAATCATCTCCCTTTCAACCCATGTTGTTGCGATGCTTTCAAATACTCCATTAACACATGACAAAATTGCAAGTATTCTCTTCTTTCAAACCCTCGAAGATGTTCCCACCCTAAGAAATAAGCTTCTTTCTGAAAACACACACCCAAATCTTTCGTGCTTTGCTACAAGTTTGAAACAGTGTTGCACTCATTCTTCTACTGCATTACACATCTTACATTCTGCTGAAATCAATATACGTCATTGCCTTAAATTTCCTATCGTAGTAAAATGCCATCCATGACTTGCCAAAAAATTGCTTTACTTTGGGCATGATGTGCACATTCCACACCTATGTCCACTCCAATCCATTACATGGGGTTAAACTCCCCTACAAGTCTCATGTAGTAGCTTCGGATCGAGTGATATACGAAGGATAAGTTATCTATCTCTTTCCACAAATAGCTCTCATAATCTTGTTACAATTTAGGTTCTCTCAGAGTCATGAATTAAAAATACTACATTCATATCTTTAACACAATATGGTTGCCTAGAATTTATCTTTCTGAACTTTTCCCCAGGTAAACACGAGTCCCCCCAAATTGTAATGTTTTTCCATTTTCAACGCAGTATTTAATGCCTTTAGCTATTACTGCTTGAGCCTCCATTATGCTTCTCCAAGAAAATGACAGATTACTTCCTACTTGAATTGTAAAAAATATATAGTTGGGAAAATAGTGAGTTTTAAAACTCTACCCACCAGCGCGCTCGTATCAGTTTTAACCTTCCAAGCTTGCTTCCTGAGCATGGCTACATTAAATTCTATTAACCTTCTACTTCTAAATCTCAAGCCTCCTTTACTCTTTGGTATACACACAATGCTTGCCAAGTTTTCCTACATATTCACCTTCCATACAATTCTTCCTCCCGCCACCAATACACACTCACCAATCTCTCAATTTCCTCACAAAGCTCCGGCGGCAAAAGGAACACATTCAGAGTGTAAGTTGGCATTGCTTGGATCAATGTCTTCAACAAAACCTCACTTTCCGCTCGAGATAAGAATATATTACTCTAGCTTTGAATTTTCTTCAACACTCTTTCCTTTAGAAACTCCAGGATCTCCCGTTTCTTCCGACCCACCAAAGATGGCACGCCAAGATAGTTCATATTGTTCTTCATTCCAGTGACCTGCAACTCTCTGGACACCATTCCACATAAGCCTTCATCAACATTTGCTCACAAAAGCAAGTTAGATTTATTATATTTAATGACTTAACCGGATAAGTTCTCATAGCAATGAAGGATGTTCTTCACTGCCATACATTCTCCATCATTGGCTTTAAAAAATAGGAAAGTATCATCTGCAAAGAAGAGATGTGTAATCTTAGGAGCATTTTTGGCTTTTGTCGCACTATTCGTTAGTCCCAACGTTGTCTTTTTGTTGACTAGTGCGCAAAGCCCATCCGCCACCAAAATGAAAAGATATGGTGACAATTGATCCCCTTACCGTAACCCTCTATTGGGACTAATAAGACCTCAAATATGTTTGCCAAAAGGGATATAGTAAGAAACAAAAGAAACACATATTATAATCAAATCCACCCACCTCCGATCAAACCTCATACTTTTCATCACTTACCGTAAACAGGACCACTCCACTCTATTAGAAACTTTGCTCATATCAAATTTTAGGGACACATACCCATCGTGTTCTAGAGTCTTATTAATTTGGGTAAAATAAAACTTATTTTCACAAATATGACTAATAATTACAACAATGTACTCTCATGGTAACTTAAGTTGAAAAATTGAACATAAATTACTAAGATTTCATTACTACCGTAACAAAGTCACTAGTCACATTTTTGTAAATCATCTTTATTTTAGTCATATTTATGAAATTATTTCTATTAATTTTTGAGGTTGTAAAGTAGATCAAATATTATTTCAGTAGACAGAATTTAATTAGAGAAGGTTGAGCTTTAGTTAAATTAATAGCAAGCTTCAAACGAAGAGCATTACTATTAGCTTTGGAAAATTATATCGGGGATCGTAATACTGTGTGCATGATGTACCGATCCCAATATGCCGTATAAAAAATTTATAATTTCTCTTTTTCTTCCTTGCAGTGCACCATTTTTTCATTTTCCTCGTTTCTTCTTCTTTATTTTTCTTTTCTTCAATTTTTTCTCCCTTCTCCATCAAAATACTAAAAATTTAATTGCAATTTTACTTTTCTTTATCTTCAACTTGAATTACAACTCAATCTACTTTTTATTATTATTCTTTATCAGTTCATAACAACAAGTTTATTAATCAAAATAAAATCAGTATATTGCATTTCATATTCATACACTATTTTTTTGTAATGTTTTTTACATTTATACATTTTTTGTAATATACGTAGTATATTTTTTATAATCATCCACTTTTTTTCTATAATATATTCTATCACTTTTATATGCTTTTTAGTGGGTTTTTAAAACATTGATTTTGTTTATTTCGATTTACATTTGATGAAACATAAGATTACACTTTTAGAAGGTGGTTTTCCCTTAATATTACTAAATTAAAGCTATTTTTCAAAAATGAGACCATATTTACATTTGGACAAAAACGTGACTAACATAAAGTGACAGCCAAAAAGTCATGCCACTGCCCAATTTTAATGTCACTTTGGGATGTCACTGCCGCCATGTCACTACCGCCGTCATCGCTCGTGTCACCACTGCCTTTCATTGCCGCCATCGTTGGTGATCACCACCGCCGATCACAATGACACCGCGATAATGACACCATGACAGTCACACAACCACCGCCCAGTGACACTCGACGCCGTTGTCACCTCCGTACCACCGACACTGTCAATCCTCCTACTGCTCCTACCCTCCCATTCCCCTGCCACTGTCGCAGTGACCCGGCCGTCGCCGGTTGTCACCGCCAGTCACCCCCCACAAGCCACTCACCCTCAGCCCCAACCTCCGCCCCCCGGCCCCTCTCCGCCCCCACCAAAGCTTCCCCAAGACCATGCGCAGACCTTCTTCCCTGCCCTAGGCACAGCCAGTCCCGCCACCGCCGCCGACTTGTTAATCTAGCCGCCGCAAATCTGGATACGTAGATGAAGGCATCGCCAAGCTTCTCACGTTATACATGGAACCTTCAATGAAGAAGAAACATGATGCAACGACGGTGGGAGGCGACGACGCGAGGCGTTGGAGGCGGCAGTCGATACAACGGGAAGCTCTCTCAGTCAACGTGACTGGGAGGCTCCGGCGTATGGCTCCTGATGCGACGATGGACGCAGATAAGCTCGCAGAGAGGAGGGGAGTTGTTTGGACGGAAGAGTGTTGGGCAGAAGATAGAAGCATATGGGTAACTTTTTTGGAAATTTTTAAAAGGGTCATATTTTTGTCCAATGAAAGTTGGGGGTAGGGGTGTAAACGAGCCGAGCCCGAACATGGGTAGGCTTGAGCTTGAGATTGATAATAATTCACGAGCTTGAGCTCGATCTCGAGCTTGGATGAGTTAAAGAATTTGGGCTTGAGCTCAATTCGATCTCGGTTCGAGCTCGAGTCAAGTTTCGCTAATCAATTTTTATAGGTTTGAACTCGAATAAGATGTTGGAACTCGAACGAAAAATATAATTTGTGTACTTATTCATTCTCATTTTTAGTTTCTCTCTCCTTTACTGACATTTTTATTCTTTATTTTACTGTCAATAAATGTTACAGGTACATATTATAATTATTACAGATTATGGTTATAATAATAATACTACGTACTTGTTATTATTTTTGTAATTATAGTACTATTATAATATACTACGTAGTACGTGAAAAGTATTGAAAATGGAATCGTCCTAAATTAGAATACATATTCCAAAAAAGTACATACGGAGTATATAATTATTATATATATAATTATTATATATGAAATATATAAAATATGAAACAAAGTCTCGCGAACCGGTTCGCGAGCCATGAGCCTAAAATAAATAGGCTAGCTTGAATTGAGCTTGTTAACTATTTGAGTCGAGCCGAACTCGAGTTGAGCTTAATATGACCGAACTCAAATCGAGCTTTTCCCGAGCGATCCACGAGCAGCTAGCGAGCGGTTTGGCTCATTTACACCCCTAGTTGGGGGGTAATATCTATGTCATCCTTTCTTTTTATATGTGTGATTTATATTTTCATATGTGTGAGTTACATTTATACAGTATTCCCGGAGATACATTTTCATGTGCGCGAGTTACATTTTCTTATGCGCGATTTACATCTCCATGTGCGCGAGCTGCATTTTCATATGTGTGAGTTACATTTTGACTTGCCCAACAAGTTACATTTGGCTTAAACGTGATTTACATTTCAACTTTTTTGAAGTTACATTTTGCATACACGCGATTTACATTTCATATATGAAAGGTGGCAGAATGACCACTAGAGGGAGTAAAGCAGGTTACCTTTCAATGCACGAGTTACATTTTCCACAAACTAAGATTACATTTCACAGCAATCCGAGTTACATTTCAATACACGTGATTTACATCATTAAAAATTGAGACAAGTACATGAGTACTGTTCACACATGTTTTTTATTTAAAGTTTAAACCTAAATGACGTCGTTTTAGGTATGAGTTATAGGATGCTCACCACGTACTGCCTCCACAGAATTGCCTCCATAAGAAAAAAACACTCATTTATCTCGGAATTACGAATTATCTCAAGATTAATCTTTGATTTCCGTAAAGTACAGTCATTGAAAGATGTCGTAGGATGATGACGATGATGAGAATATCCCGGATTGGCTAATTTTTATTGGAATTTTATCAATCCAAGATTCAAAATCTCATTTATCTCGGAGTTTTATTTCATTGTAAGACTGTGGATTTGGATGTGAGTGACGAAAGGTCTGCGTTAACCGTCTTTGGCTCATTTGCGTCCAGTAATGGATCAACAAGTTATATTGCTTCTTTAGAGGTGATAAACTCTGAGTCTAGTTCGAGGGTCGGCGGTTGCTAGGGGTCTTTTTGTCCTTTTACCCATTATCTGAATGGTGTATTATCAATTTAAGCCTATTTCTTCCACACTCACAAGAAACCGGGACCCAAAAGGAAATGTGTCCGTATAGAATCTGAATGATTAATTTAATTTTTTTTATTATTTTCATTACTAATTTTCGATGAATTTTTCTTCACAACAATTTATTAGTTCAATAAAATTAAATAATATTTAAAAAAATCATTACAACTTAGGTTGTGTTTTGATAGTTTGCAATCATTCAATCCCTATACCGATACATTTCATCTTTTAGGCCCCGAATTGATAGATCATGTTTATTTCAGACTCTAAATTGATAAAATTTCATTTTTATTACGTAGTAGTACTACCTCCGTCCTATAAAACTTGACCAACTTTCCTTTTTTGACTGTTCCAAAAAACTTCGTCATTTTCATTTAAAGTAACAAATATGTGGTTAAAGTTATCTCTCTCTCCTCCCTACACAAATATCAACCACACAATTTTTATTTTATTATTCTACGTACAAGTCAATTTTGGTCAAGTTTTATGGGACAGGGGCGTATTAGGCAGAAGAACTGATTTTATAACATTGACCGCATTGCAATGGCTATGTGAGATCCAAAACGAATAGGGAAATCTTGCAAGTTGCAAGCTAAACTTCAAGATTTGACTTTTTAAACATATGTATAGGATCCATTTGCCCCTTTTTACAAGCTTTTTGGTGGGTCACCCATCCTTGGGATTTCTTGCCCCTAGACTCGCTTAACTACAGAGTTTTTATAGCTAAATAACAGTCATATCCATACCGATAAGGACGTGAACACGCTCTATTTAACACATTACTTTAGTGACGAAGGTAGATTTCTATGGAGCACCCCATGCAATTCATTACAGCAATGCAGAGCCCCACTACTAAACGATGGATGGACACGAGGAGCTGCACCACATCGTGGTGTAGCAGGTCGGGCCTAATCAAAGAGTAGGCCCGGAATCATATCAAAGGGTGGTGTTGATCCCCATAAGACCAACAATCACCCCGCCGAGAAATTCACCTACGACCTCGCTCTGAGCCCCACTGCCCCCACAATTCACTATGGCAGTGCAGAGCTCCACTACTGAGCAATGAACAAACATGAGGGGTTGCACCACATCGTGGTGCCAGCAGGTCAAGCCTAATCAAAGAGTAGAGCTCTAATCAAAGGGTGATGCAGATCCTCACCAGACCAATAATATGCATAGGATTTTGTATTTAGATGTGATGTTGTCTTTAAAATATGAATTTGTCAAACAATCTTTTATCAATAATTTACGGTTTTACACTACTCCAGTCAACTAAGGTTGTGATATGAAGAAGAAATACAATGATTAAGAAACGTGAAATGATGTGATTGGTATTACATTTATGATATAAATAAATTAATAGTGAATTACAATTAAAAAAATATTATCAAATATGATATGAAATAATTTTAGTGGCACACACTGGCATAGTGAGACAAATATTAAGATGTGCTAATCCAAATTTTTCTGGTCTGGTATGGCTTGATCTAATAATCTTTGGTCTCTATGTACTTTACATCTATCGAAATTTGGTCTGTTTTAATTTGAACTAGTTTGGTCTGAGACTGAAGTAAGTCCAAGTAAAAACATTCTAAGCCGTCTTACTTGCCTTGGGGTAAAAACAAAAGAGAAAAGATTAGACAAAATAGTGGCTAGAAGAAGCATGTAGTTTCTATATTATTTATTCTTTAACACAATTTCTCGCAACGACAGATAACACTCTCACTCACACACTCTCATTGGTGGCGAAACCTTCGTATAGGTGCATTTAATGTTTTTTACTCAGAAGTTGCGGCCGCAAAGAAAGGGAGTTGTGGCGAATAACCAAGGCGAGCCCGATCCTCTTGCTCATTCCTTATCTTGGTCATGCCCCTGGGCGGTAACCCTAGATCCCAACTATGCTTCGGTCCGGGTCCGTCAACACATTCGACCTCTTCATGAGCCTCAACCTGTCATGTTGGGTAAGCCAGATTGCTCTTTTCCCTTGTAGATCTTTCAATGAGATTTCTATCTTTGTTTCAACAGTCCACCGTTTCCGGTATTATCTTATATTAGACAAATGTCCCAAAGTCTGCTCGCTCTCCCAAAGTAGCAATTTTTTAGCACATCATTTAAATTTTGCATCTTATATCTTCAACTAGTTATGTCATGTGACGCGCTTTGCGCGACTGGAAAATGCCCAATGTCTTTTGTGTATAGTTAATAAAATTAAATTTTATTGGAATTGCACATAAGATTTATATTTACATTATAAGAATGACGAAAATGTAAAGGCTTGATGTGTTGCTGCAACCAAAGCCAACATATTTGAAAAGAGCAAGTGTCAACAATTTGTATGCCTAGTTCTTATATAGGAAGAACACAAGTAGGTTTAATAACATCATTTGGGCATACTTACTATACAAACACCTAGTATGTTTGAAAGCAATTTATTTTTTTCTATCAAATTAAGTTCATACTGACATAAATTCAAATTGCACAAGTCTTAGTATGAAACGACATTTAATATATAGAGATTATCACAAAGATTCCTAATACATTCAAACTCATCATCATAATACTCATGAAGATTAAAGATATATTCTGAAATATTATTACATAACATCAAAACATAAATAAATATAAAAATTAGAGGTGGACATATTGGTTTGGTTTAACCGAATCAAATCGTACCAAACCGAACTAAATTGAACCGAAACTGGACCATATGTAATTTGATTTGAGTTTGATAGTATTTCTTCCAAACCGTACCGTATTAAACCGAACGGAATCGAAGCCGATAAAACCAAACAAAACCGAACCGAACTGTATAAATTCAATAAAACCTTCATATATTATTAAAAAATAACAAAACCAAAACGAAAGAACTAAAAAATAGTATGATTTTTGTTTGGTACTAATTTCCTCAACCCGTTCCAAACCGAACAGAAATCGATAAAAAACCGAACCGAAAACCGATATGCCTACGGCCTACGCCTAATAAAAGTATATACTAGAACTAATTTTAATGTCATAGAATAGTGTACTGATGCATTGTGAAATTCCATAAGATTAAAATCATAAAATGTACTCTTTCATGAGCCAATAAAAACAAAAACAAATTAGAGGACACAAGACAAATTGTTGAAGGAAGTTGAGCAGTAGCTATCTCTCCACTCACAAATACGGAGTATTTCTTACTCCATATTACTTTAACGGAAGCTAGATAACAGAAGCGTTGCAACACACGGGTTATTAAATGGTGAAGTTAATTCCTTTAAAAGAGTACATAGGGCAAAACAAAATGTACCACCTCATAAAACAAGTGATTACACCAACATTTTTTTGAACCCTAAAATACCCTTACTGTTATTGACAATTACTACGTATAAGATTTTATTTCGTATTACTTAAATGGAAGCTAGATAACAGAAGCGTTGCAACACACGGTTTATTGACGGAAATTAAATGATGAAGTAAATTCCTTTAAAAGAGTACATAGGGCAAAACAAAATGTATCACCTCATAAAGCGAGTGATTACACCAACATTTTTTCAATCCTAAATATCCTTACTGTCATTGAGAATTATAAGATTTTAAGATTAAGACCAGATTAAGATATACTAACTGAAATATAAAATCAGTAAACGAATTCAGAACTTTCTATGTATTTGCAATTCTAGAATGTTTCCGTTTATACTCTCACCTAGTATCTGGATATATCAATAGGGTTATGAACTTAGAATCTAAAGAACGTATCTAAGTAAATATTGATATGGATTCCTAATCCCTTCATCATTTCACTCCATTTAGGATTAGGAATAAACGTAATGAACCCTTCTTTATACATACTTCTGTATATCTTTCTTGTACCCCTATTCAGTAGCAACCATTAACCTCTTTGAATCAATTGAGAGATACTACGTATGTTTGATTGTTCATCTTTTGGATATATTTTTATAGTATTGTTGAGTTTAATCCAACACGATATAGTAAATATATGTATAAATGTGTATGAACAACTCAGTTTTTACGTGGAAACCCGAAAGGGAGAAAACCACGGGACTTTTTAGGCTAATGTCCAAGCCCTCTCAATTCTCATTAGGACTCTCCTCACCATTACATAGTACATTTTGAGCTCCCATTAATGGAGTCTTGTAAGCTAACTAAGAAGGAGGGAGAAGAAGAAGGGATCCTTTTATATGGAGGGAAACCTCCTATTTATAGGGAATAGGGGGAAAGGGGGCTCTCCACCCTAACGGGCCGAATGGGCCAAACTGGGCCCAAAGGCCGTAACAGGCCTGATAGGCTAAAATGGGCCTTACTGATTGGGCTCCGTACTACGTAAAGTCTTGGGCTCCTGAACAGTAATAGGCCGGGATAATATATCCCAACACAAGTCCCCCAGTTTCTTGAGTAGTGAGCGTGCGAATCTGCTCGAGAAAATATACTCTTGCCTGCGCTTTACCTCGGTCTAGCTGGAACCTGTGTCTTCGAATAATCATAATATATGAGTGGATGTCCACACTCCTGAACGTAAGCTGCCGGTGAGGCACCCCCGTTCCCGACGGGGTCGGGTGAAGGGTGCTCCTCCACGGGCACGCTCCCCCTGAATGCATCAGGAGAGAGTAAAGGACTCTGACTCGAGCTTTCCAACGGAGAAGCTTAGAGGTCCATGCATCTATAAACCGACGTCGCGGTACTGTCAAAACATGATGCACATGTGTATGTATGAATGTATGAGGTATGATGCATGAATGCATGTAATGTATGGGTGCAATGTATGAGAGAGGGAATGCAAGATGTGATAGAAAGCGGTGGCTCTCATCGATAAACCGGGCATGTCAGCGCCGAGAGGCAGACGTGCTGCATAAGAGACGTTCGTCGCCATCCTGAAAGGGATGGGCGACCCTAACGTGAGCCAGACACGATGGCACTGGGGCGCTGATCGTGCTGCATAAGAGACGTTCGTCGCCATCCTGAAAGGGATGGGCGACCCTAACGTGAGCCAGACACGATGGCGCTGAAGCGCTGATCGTGCTGCATAAGAGACGTTCGTCGCCATCCTGAAAGGCATGGGCGACCCTAACGTGAGCCAGACACGATGGCGCTGGGGCGCTGATCGTGCTGCATAAGAGACGTTCGTCGCCATCCTGAAAGGGATGGGCGACCCTAACGTGAGCCAGACACGATGGCGCTGGGGCGCTGATCGTGCTGCATAAGAGACGTTCGTCGCCATCCTGAAAGGGATGGGCGACCCTAACGTGAGCCAGACACGATGGCGCTGGGGCGCTGATCGTGCTGCATAAGAGACGTTCGTCGCCATCCTGAAAGGGATGGGCGACCCTAACGTGAGCCAGACACGATGGCGCTGGGGCGCTGATCGTGCTGCATAAGAGACGTTCGTCGCCATCCTGAAAGGAATGGCCGAGCCGAACGTGAAAGAGACACGATGGCGCTGAGAAGCCGATCATGCCGCATAAGACGGTCGTCGCCATTCTGGAGGGAATGAGCGAGCCGAACCGTGAAGCCAGGTACGATGGCGCTGAGGGGCCGATCGTACTGCATAAGACGTTCGTCGCCATCCTGGAGGGAATGGGGCGATCCGAACGTGAAAGAGACACGATGGCGCTGAGAAGCCGATCGTGATGCATAAGACGTTCGTCGCCACCCTGAAAGGGATGGACGAGCCGAACGTGAGCTGGGTACGATGGCGCTGAGGGGCCGATCGTACTGCATAAGACGTTCGTCGCCATCCTGGAGGGAATGGGGCGATCCGAACGTGAAAGAGACACGATGGCGCTGAGAAGCCGATCGTGATGCATAAGACGTTCGTCGCCACCCTGAAAGGGATGGACGAGCCGAACGTGAGCTGGGTACGATGGCGCTGAGGGGCCGATCGTACTGCATAAGACGGTCGTCGCCACCCTGAAAGGGAATGGACGAGCTGAACGTGAGCTGGGTACGATGGCGCTGAAGGGCCGATCGTACTGCATAAGACGGTCGTCGCCATCCTGGAGGGAATGGGCGAGGCGAACCGTGAATCTGGACACGATGGCGCTGAGGGGCCGATCGTGATGCATAAGACGTTCGTCGCCACCCTGGAAGGGATGGACGAGCCGAACGTGAGCTGGGTACGATGGCGCTGAGGGGCCGATCGTACTGCATAAGACGGTCGTCGCCATCCTGGAGGGAAATGGGCGAGCCGAACCGTGAGTCTGGACACGATGGCGCTGAGGGGCCGATCGTGATGCATAAGACGTTCGTCGCCACCCTGGAAGGGATGGACGAGCCGAACGTGAGCTGGGTACGATGGCGCTGAGGGGCCGATCGTACTGCATAAGACGGTCGTCGCCATCCTGGAGGGAAATGGGCGATCCGAACGTGAAGCCAGGTACGATGGCGCTGAGGGGCCGATCGCACTGCATAAGACGTTCGTCGCCATCCTGGAGGGAATGAAGCGATCTGAACGTGAAAGAGACACGATGGCACTGAGAGGCCGATCGTGATGCATAAAAATAGTGATAATCGTGTGTGGTAATCGTCTCGCGGCCCTCGACCATGCTGGTGATGTGTCAAGTCTCTATCCTGATTGGCTGTGAGAAGCCGATCGTCTACCAAGAAGGAATGGTGAGCCTGAAATAAATCTGGGCGATGTCCCCCCGTCTGATCTAGGGAGCTGGTATTCGTCGTCCAAGGCAAAAGAAAGCATGATGTTAGCCGATCGTCGTCGGCCACTTCATTCTTCGTACTTAAGTTTTGTAATTATTCTTTACATATGTTTTTCAGTTTGTACTTCCCGGCCAATAGCGCCGAGGGATAAAATCATTCTTTGCTCCGTGCTCTTCTGGCATCTTTTTCTCTGTTTTTTTTTTGGAGTCTTTTAATCTTCGTTCGTCATTGGTCCTTGGTCCTACCGGCGTTCTTACATCGAAGAGACGTTCGGTATCCGCGGACATCGCAATGAGGAACAGGTATATCTACATCGAGATTCCCCCTTTTTCGTTCGTCCGTGGTCCTTTTAGTCTTACCGGCGTCTCTTGCTTCGAAGAAGACGTTCGGTACCCAAGGAACTCGCAGGGACGAACAGGTTTACCCTCACGGGTTCCCGACTTTGTTATCCCACGTCCATCGATCCATGGTCATTGTGGGATAAACAGGTTTATCTTGGCAAAGCTCCCTTGGTTCGTCTAGCCCCCTCCGCGTCTCTACTAACCTCTACATCGAGAGGCGTTCGTCTTCGGTGGTGGGAGAAGATCTGGCACGCCCGGGCAAGATTCCCTTCCACATAGGAGCTACCCTCCTCTTCTCCCCATCTTTTTTTTTGTTTTTTTTTTGTTTGAGGGAGGCAATCTATATTCTTCGTTCGTCCTTGGTTCTTGGTCCTACCGGCGCTCTTGCTTCGAAGAAGACATTCGGTATCCAAGAAACTCGTAGGGATCACGGGATGTCACACATAATGGTGGTGGCATAGCGAACGAATATAATGACGAGGCGATGGAGACGCTGGTCGTCATGCGAAGGCGATGGTCACCCTCCTGAAGGGAGGGGTGAGCCCGATCGCTAACTCAAGAAGGTCGGCATTGGGAGCCGATATACAATGATCATAATGTCGCTGAGCAGTCGGTCCTGATAATGGAGATGGCAATAGTGTCCGGTCAGGCCGATATATTCGTGCAACGGCTCTCATCCAACGCATCGCGGGGATGGAACCGGTCTTCAAAAGATAAATATGTCGTGCCGAGAGGCCGACCATAACATGATAGTGTCGGCAGTGAGAGGCCGACCTGAAAGAATCAAACAACGGTCCTCGTCCGCGAGGTGGCGGGGACGAGGCCGGTCCTCAAAAGATAAGCACGCCGAGCCGAGAGGCCGGTCGTGGTATGATGATGTCGGCAATGAGAGGCCGATATGAAAGAATCAAGCAATGGTCCTCATCCGCGAGGAGCGGGGACGAGGTCGGCCTTCAAATATGATAATGGCGCCGTACCAGGGGGTCGGTGGCCATGTAACAGTGTCGGCCTGGGGGGCGATCTGAGAAAATCAAGCAACGGTCCTCGTCCGCGAGGGCGGGGACGAGGCCGGTCTTCAAAGATGATAATCACGCCGGGTCGGGGGCCGAACATGATATGACAGTGTCGGCAATGAGAGGCCGACCTGAAAGAATCAAGCAACGGCCCTCGTCCGCGAGGGCGGGGACGAGGCCGGTCTTCAAATATGATAATCACGTCGGGCCGAGAGGCCGGTCGTGATATATAATGACATCGGCAATGACAGGCCAATCTGAGAAAACAAGCAACGGCCCTCGTCCGCGAGGGCGGGGACGAGGCCGGTCTTCAAATATGATAATCATGTCGGGCCGAGAGGCCGGTCGTGATATATAATGACATCGGCAATGACAGGCCAATCTGAGAAAATCAAGCAACGGTCCTCGTCCGCGAGGGCGGGGACGAGGCCGTTCTTCAAAAGATAAGCACGCCGAGCCGAGAGGCCGGTCGTGGTATAATGGTGTCGGCAATGAGCGGCCGAACATGATGTGACAGTGTCGGCAATGAGAGGCCGATCCCAAAAATCAAGCAACGGTCCTCGTTCGCGAGGGCGGGGACGAGGCCGGTCTTCAAAAGATAGGCACGCCGAGCCGAGAGGCCGGTCGTGGTATAATGATGTCGGCAATGAGAGGCCGATCAAGTGTATCCGTGCAACGGCTCTCATCCGCGCAGTGCGGGGATGATACCGGTCTTCAGGTGATAAATACGCCGTACCGCGAGGTCGGTCGTGATGTAAGGATGGTCCCACGACCCTCGGCCGTAGTGGTCTCCTCTAGGCCACCGGCTCCTGGTGTGGAGATGCTCGTATCACGGCTCTCAGCCGTGATGGTTTCCTCTTGGCCCTCGGCCTCTGGGTGATGGATGATCGTCTCACGATTCTCTGTCATGGCATTCGCCTCTAGATCCTCGGCCTCTAGGTGTTCTTCCTAGGCCATCGGTCTCTGGGGTGGAGATGCTCGTTCCACGGTTCTCAACCGTGGTGGTCTCCTCTAGGCCCTCGGCCCCTAGGTGGAGATGCTCGTCTCACGGTCCTCAGCCGTGATGCTCTCCTCTTTAGCCGGCCCTGCACGTATTCAAGACTCGGGCCGAGCGTCTTCTAATCATTTCACTCGAGCGCGTCGAGCGGCTTCAGCTGCGCAATAAGCATGGTAACGGGCCGCACGGCCCGACAATATGTATACACACGCAATCATCTGCATGGCTTTCTCTCTAATAACCACGATTACCGGCCTATGGGTTATGGTGACCCTCGGCCCGGCTCATCGTGCGGGGTTAATGGATGTAGCAGCTCGCGGCGGGGCTAATTAGCAGCCCGCCGAGCGTCACATAGAAATACTCATTGGTCTGTGAATTTTCAAACTCGGACCCAAGTTGGTCGCACCGCCCTCGGAAACACGAGGCCGAGCGCTTTGGTGCCCTCGGGGCCCCACAGGCCGCGTCTGGCGATAGTCACTTCGCGCCTAATGGCATAGATGATATTGGGGTACGATCGTCGCTCGCGCACTCGGTGTCGTGCGGACTAATACGTAACCCCCCAACTAAAATGCGTCGTCGGGGCATCGCCCTTTTGGAGACGCTCAGATCGCTTAATCAAGCTGATCGAGAATGGACCAACGGGCCCACAAGAAATTAAATATTCGATAAAATATTGGCCGAACTAACTATCACTAGAGCTTCGCTCCACATTATTTAACTCGGGATATTTTATCCCTAATAAATAATAGCTAGTGATATAACCGGTAATAGCAATGATACTTTCCTATCAAAGGCCATTCAAGTATACTCCGTTTGCTAATTAGAGTTGATCAGGAGCGGGCCGACGGGCCCACAATAACCAGTCATTTAATTTAATGACGGTGAAGCTAATTATCACTAGAGCGTCGCTCGACAGTATTTAATTTCGGGAGGTTTTAATCCCTAATAAATAATGGTGATAAAATTAAATTAACTAATAGCAAGAATATTATTCTATATCATCATTGATAATTAAACGCACCAACTCAGAGTATGAGTACTTAGCTTTATGGGGTGTATGTTCGGCCAGATAGATTCTAGCGCATTGAGATAAAAACCCCTCCCTCAATTTTGACTTGGTCAAAATCTCTCCAAGGAAAATGGCTCTCCATTATCTGGCCTCAACTTGCAGGACGTGGTCAGTTTAGGATCATAGCAACTTATACGGAGCATCTTTTGGAACAGTTGGATGAAGAACCCACTTGCAGGCTCGTTGACCCCAACCAAGCAGAACATACAGCCTGATGACGGCAGTCTGCGAAGATGGCTCCTGCAGCGGAGCACGGGTGGCCAAGGGCGCTAATCTCTGGTGGAGGTTTGGCTGGACCACAGAGCGTACCTCTCCGAACTTGAAGCTGCCATTAATGGCGGAAATCAGGGAACTTTCTGCCGGAGTTCCTTCCTAGCCTCGTCGACGGAGAAGTTGGGACCCGAGCAACGACTGGCCAGACGGAGGGGTGTCCATCAGCTCGCTGCCGGCGACAGATGACGGTGCTGCTGCTATGGAGTTCTCCTAGGATCGAGATCTTGAGACCTGGGATGCTGCTATCGGTCTCTGTCTGGTGCAAACTGACTCACCGGAGGATCCACCGCGGCGGGAAGGGTAACTACGGCTCCGGTGACCCCAAACCCAGATCTGGAGAAATCCAGACTTTGACTCCCCAGACTCTTTTCTTTAGAATTTTTTCTTCTTTTTTGGTGAAATCAGTCCACTTCTATGAATTTTTGTGTAGAACACATGAATCTTTTTGGACAGATTCCCACAGACGGCGCCAGTGTTGAGTTTAATCCAACACGATATAGTAAATATATGTATAAATGTGTATGAACAACTCAGTTTTTACGTGGAAACCCGAAAGGGAAAAAACCACGGGACTTTTTAGGCTAATGTCCAAGCCCTCTCAATTCTCATTAGGACTCTCCTCACCATTACATAGTACATTTTGAGCTCCCATTAATGGAGTCTTATAAGCTAACTAAGAAGGAGGGAGAAGAAGAAGGGATCCTTTTACATGGAGGGAAATCTCCTATTTATAGGGAATAGGGGGAAAGGGGGCTCTCCACCCTAACGGGCCGAATGGGCCAAACTGGGCCCAAAGGCCGTAACAGGCCTGATAGGCTAAAATGGGCCTTACTGATTGGGCTCCGTACTACGTAAAGTCTTGGGCTCCTGAACAGTAATAGGCCGGGATAATATATCCCAGCAAGTATGTTTTTTTTTTATAAAAAGCGATCTATTATATTGACATATAAGCTGTTTTATGTTGTTTTAAACGGAGTCAATGTCGCTTTTCACTCATTTTATGTAAACTCGAGTATGCCTCTCTAATACACTTGATTTTGATACCAATTTCATTATAGAATAACTCATTTTTAGCATAGCATTCTCTATATCAACTCGTCAATCACTCTTTTTTATTAATCTGGAGTGTTTGGAATTACTTATGTTCCAATATGTGCTTTTACACCTAAAAAGATGACACCTCATTCCAGAGACCCCTCAGAATCGATTGGATAGTTATTTGAGAGGATGTAAGTTGAGTTTTTTACAACACTATGATAGAAAGAAAGTGAGATTTATCTCAAGTCATTGTTTCGAGTTGAACCCGAAACATTTCTCTTGTGGCACCATCCTTATACCAGGTGAGCTACGCTCCAGTCTGCTTTTACGCCTAAGCATGACGCCCCACGTTGTGGGCTCCCCAAAACCGATCGAAAAATTATTTGGAAGGATGTAAGTTTTTTTTTGAAGGATGTAAGTTAAACTTTGATTTTAAACTGATGAAAGAGAGTGGAGCTTCATAATACCAAGTCTTAGTTTGGAATTCTAGCGGGGGCTCTCTCTTGGGTGAGCTACGCCCAGTTGCCTTTACGTCTAAAGTTTTAGAGAAATTCTTCTTGTACACGAAATACAGACATACACGTTTTTACACTTACCTGTGAAAACTATTTTTTTCTGTGCACAATAAGCGTAAAAACGTTTATGTCTGTATTTCGTATAGAAACGGTTTTTTCCAGTTTTATATTTCGTAAATAGTATAAATGATGTTTTCTTTTTGATTGAAATTTAGTGATCTTGTCTGGTCTGGTCTGAATTGGTCCTGGATTGAAAAAGTGTAATGAAAACATCCAAAGGAGCGGACCCTCCAAAAAAAAGTCCCTGCAATGCTATTGTGTTTGGCAAACTAAAAAGTCCGGAGAAAAGGACAGACTTTTCCTCCTGTATTTTCGAAAGCCCCTGCGCGTGCCGCGTGGGTTTGTGGCAAAGTAAACTGGGGTTTGAAAAGGGCCAATAGTGAGAAGCATACAGGAGCTGTTCAGGGGAGGACTCGCAGGAAGAATATTTTAAGAAAAACAGTAAAGGGTTGTCGCAGGAAGGAAGCCAGCTAGAAAGAATGGGTAGTCCTTCACTGGGATTACTAAAGCTCTCTGGGTTGCCACTTCCTCCAAATTTCTCCAAAATTGTTCATTCGTCCGTCAATCTTGGCTCTCCTTTCACCATCTCCTCTCAGTTTCTTTCTTCTTACTCTGCTTCTTTCCCGCAAAGAAGATGGGCTGCCTCACCAAGGTCATCTACTAGGACACAGATGGTATACTTCTTACCCCCCCTACTCGCTTTCACACTTACTTCATCCCTATCTTGGGCATAAAGATTGGATTTTTTTCTCTCTTTCGTGTTCGTGTTTTGTGTTGATGGGTCTCCTGTTGTGGTAGATCAGGTGAAAAAATAAAAAATCTAGCTTTTTTATGTTGAGTTCGTGTAACCTAAGATTGGGTTGCTGTAAGAGACCTTTTATGCGTAAGTATGAATCTTTTCTAGGGAGCCTTCTCCATTCATGTCGAATTTCAGGCAATTGGCACTTGGCAGTAAGTTAGCCTGATTCCTTTTGTGTACTTGCTAAGAATGCCATTTAACTAAATGAGGGATGCTGAATGTATACTTTGCTAGTCGTTGATTGTTTCCTGTCCTTGTTGCATTGCATTCTATTTTCTTGATGCTTTTACTACTACTACTACTAATACTAGTTCTGATAATTATAATAATAAATCTATAAAAAGGGGATTTAAACAATGACTAATTGACATAAAAGTTGATAGTTTATAATGGTTTCCTATAGACCTAAAGCAACCATTAATTTGGAACGGCAGAGTATTACATTACAAATGTTGGAAAGTCAGATGTTAGTACAGGCTTGGTGCATTCATTGGAACGGGTGTTAACATGACAAAGTGCATGGATGCCCATATGAGGGTACGGTCCTTAGTAGGGTGTTAACCTCAAACAAGGGTGTGCACAAGTGCTTGTTCAGCAGTTTTGACCCTAAGAGCGCTATAATGATCTGTGTAAGCGATGTTGAAAATGGCCCATAAGAATGAGATAATATCTGCCTATGGTGGATCAGGGTCAGCGGGCAAGTGTTCAGATTATGGCTTTGTTGATTGTTTCTCAAAAGTTGGTGAAGCTTTCGAAGTATTAAGTGATGAAAGTTACCATTTTCTCAGTGCATTTAATTATGGATTTTTTCGCATTAATTTCTATGCGAACTGGGGCATGTTTTTTACGATACCATTTGAGGGGGAGTGCAAAGATTACATGTGTAACTGTGTAAGAATCACGCAGAAAATTAATCAGGTATTTTTGGATTCAACAATATGCAAGGGGAGGGGGGAAATGCAAAGAAAAATGATTGTTTTATGTTTGGTTTTTCTTTGGAAAATGTCAAAAGGAAAATGCAATTTGATTGTTTTTTATTTAAATTTGCATCGATTTTAAGTTTTTTTTTAAATATTTATGTACATTGACTCAAATCAATTTTTCCATCATTTGCAATGGAGCCAAAGATTCATTATTTTTTGGCTTGAGCATATGATGGAATAAAGCAAAATGGCTCACCAAACTGTCTGCGCTTCTTTGTTATGAAGCAGCAGTCAGTCAATGCAATTTTTGGACGCGATTTTCATTATGGGTCATACGGAAACAGTCTCTCTGCGCTTTAGTACAGGGGTAAGACTGCGTACATCCGACCCCCCCTTACCCCACCATAGGTGGGAGCCTTTGCGGCACTGGGGTAAATGATGATTGATTGATGATTGATATATATTGACTCAAATCAATAAAAGAGTATAAAGAATATTTTGAGTTCTTTTAACCTTTATTTTATTCCCCCATATTTTCTTTACTTCGAGCTTTCTATCATGCTTTCTTTCTGTTATCTTTCTCTAGTATTTTCTGGATACACACACTTCGTATTTGGCTCTTCACAGGTACAACCTTGAGCTTATCTAATAGCATATAAATCCTAGACTCATCATCTTTATGTCATAGAAACATAAGCTCTAACTAATTTTAATCATCTTGGTCTGCATTTGCTTATCATATATCTTCCATCCTACCAGAAGGCTAAGATTGTCCTGAATAGAAAGTATAATATTTTGATGAGGAATCCATATTCCAACCTTTGCAAGAGCCTTTCTTCCTTGAAACTCATCAATTTGTATAATTCAAGCATCCAAGAAATGGTAATCTTGTAGAGTTTTTTCTCTTCCAGAAGTACAAATGTGTATTATATTCAAGCATCCATCAAATGTTTATCAAATCTCATTTGATTCTTCATCTACAGTTTGGGTGCTTGCTTCTTTCAAAATTCTATTGTATTTGATCTTCCATGCAAAAGAGAACATGCTGGCTCCTGCGAATTCTCTCTCTATATATATATATCAATATATGCATCTGGTGGTTTTCATAAATTATTTACTGCCAGGGGGCCTCTGTTTTCTATGTGCTGGTATAGTGGCTTCATGGAGATGAACAGAGACATAAAAAAAGTTGTGATGATCTAAGGAATGAAAATGAATGTGAAGCAGCTCAGATGTTTGGTTCAGATGAAGAAGTTGCCAGTCAAATTCCAACCCAAGCTCAATCTGTTGTTGAAGGATCAAGAACAGTTCTGGTTGCAGAATACAAGCCTGTTCCTGATGTGGACTACTTGCAGGTATCTTGTCCTCTCACCCTAAATTTGCACTCCTAATTTTCATCATTGGGTAAAGAAGTTTTAACAAACACTTGTTGTCTAGCAGGAATTATTAGCAATTCAACAACAAGGTCCAAGAAATATTGGCTTTTTTGGAACACGGAATATGGCATTCATGCATCAAGAACTTGTTGAGATCCTTAGCTATGCCTTGGTTATAACGGTATTATGATGATCTTGATAGTGTACTCTCAGTCCCAAAATGTAAGATACAATTGAGCCAAGCACATTTTTAAGAAAATAAAGGAGACAGTTTTAAGAGGAAGAAAAAGTACTGAAGAGTCCCAAGAGATTTTGGGGTCGGCTAACATGAATTGATACATGATATCAGAACAAAAAAAAAACAAAAAGAAAAGAAAGATAAGAAAGATAAAAACATAAGCTATCATTTCATCATCATCATTTTCATTTACCCCAGTGCCGCAAAGGCTCCCACCTATGGTGGGGTAAGGGGGGGTCGGATGTACGCAGTCTTACCCCTGTACTAAATCACAGAGAGACTGTTTCCGGATGACCCGTAGTGAAAATCGCGTCCAAAATTGCATGGACTGACTGCTGCTTCATAACAAAGAAGCACAGACAGTTTATTGAGTCATTTTGTTTTATTCCATCATAAAAACATGAGCTATGATAAATAAAAAAGGGAAAATCGCATATATGGTCCCTCAGTTATCCACGAATTTAAAATCTCTGACCTGTATTTATGAGATTGTAAATGTCACCCTCAATTGTCCAAAATGTTGTAAATGTGGTCCTTTAAGTAGTGAAATGTATTCTCGCCCACATTGTATATTTCACCCCTCAAAAGGACCACATTTACAGCATTTTGGACAATTGAGGGGTGACATTTACAATCTCAGAACT